TTTTTTTCACTTGTCATCGTTGGGTTAAATATTGAGGTGTATAGGGGAATCTACCATTCGATTTCCCCTATATTCTTTAGTATGAAATGTAAATCTTTGAAGTGTTTTTGGTACTTTCTCTCTCAGCATATAGGGATTTGGCCAGAAGAGCATGAAACGATGGCTGGAGGATAGGCTTGTGGTTTCATGAAGTGTTATTGTATGGCTAGTATTGAAAAATATATTATTACTAAGCTGTTCTTATTTTAACACAACCTCAACAGTGTAATCTGTGAAGAGGCCGATGACAAGTGGTCCATCGTAACAGTGATGCCGACAAAGGTGAAGTTAACACCACCTCCACACCATCCGCACCAAAACTTCGGCACAAAGCGACGTTTAAGCAGCCCAATTTCAGCAAAACTGATTCAAGGATTTTTCCAATAAATTACAGCATTGTGTTCATCGCAATAGCCTAGTTCCATAAGTACTGTTTAGAGGTGATTTTGTGCAATAATTTTTGAGGTTTTGTAAAGTATTGAGTGTCCACGTCATAGACCATGTTTCAGTATCAATTCTATGCATCTCATTATGTAACTGATCATTTCTTATTTAACTTGTTGGTTAATTTTTCTTTGTATTGTTGAATTTTTTCTAGATATATCTAGATTTAAAGCATTCTAGATAATTTATGAAGAGAAAATTTTAAAAGTCTCTTGGCTATTTACCACGTTGATTATGGTGCGACTTTACATAAAATTATTTAATCATTCCATGAATGGGCGGTTATTATCATAAACATAGTTGTTGTCAAAGATAGACCAGGAAGGAGAGGGGGATTTAATATTACATAATGTTTGTCACTGTTGATCAGTATATCAAGATTTCTTAAAAGTGCAAATGTTTACATATTTAGATTTAGCAAATGTCAATTTGCAGTTTCAGCCAATGTAACCTGTAAACGAAAGAAAAACATAGTACAAATGGTTGGACAAAGATGTGTTAATTCTTGTTCCAAATGTACAAATACAGAAGATGAACTTAACATATGCTGTTGTTTATTGGGCATTTTGAAGGCAGCATTATTTGAAATAGCACAGGAAGTATTCTTCAAAAATGTTTCTATGATCTATTAAAGATTGTTGTGTTTGAAGCTTGTTGGTCATTTTTTTCTAGTTTTGAGAATTGAAGATTCCCATA